AGCTGCTAATGTTAGATTAGGCGGAGATGGAAAAATCTCCCTCTTGGGGAGGGGTTCACGTTTCCCCTTTGTATTCCAAGAATCCCTAGAACTTAAGCATTTCAAACAAAATGATCAGGTTTATGTAGATACCTAAGCAGGGAAATCTGAAATTAGTCTAATTTTTATCTTCTCTCAACAACTCACCTCCACTGAGGTCCGGAGATACAGGTCATCTGCTGACTTGCCGGGGCAGCCTGGGTTTCTTACAAATGGACACAGCAGCGCCCATTCTGTATGCCCTCCTGACAGCATGGCACGTCCCACGAGGAGGTAAAGTTTGCACCCCTGCCCTTGAGACCAGGCAAGCCTTTGTCTGGACCAACACCGCGTGGTGAGTCTGAGGTCACAACGGATCACACAGCTTTGGGGGCACTTGCCCTTGGAATCCAGAGCACCAGGCTGGGAGGAAGCCCAGGCCACCTGCGGGGGCCACGTGGAGGCCCTTCAGGTGACAGCCTGGGATCACTGGACTGGCAGGTGAGCAAGCCCCAGCCTGGCCGCAAGTACAGGAGACCAGCCACCCGGGAGACGGATCCTAGCTGCCCTACCCCGCTAAGTCCCCGGTACTCGGTGATGCTGCTGACTAGAATGTCCGAGTTTCTGCCCAAGCCCCCGCAGAGGTGGCCAAGCGGACCTGCCCGAGGCCAGGCTGCGGTAAAGGCACCTTGCGCGTTCCCAGGACTCAGCCTCCCTGGCGCTTACGCGGCCATCCCCTGGGAAACCTACTGCCGTGAGCTGCTCAGCAGAGCCCTAACCACAGTCCTCCTTCCTTTTTGGGTTACTCAGAAACTCAGGATTTGGCTGGATTTCCTTTCTCACCCCTTGAAGCATAAAAGGACACCTTCTCTACTGGGAAATTAGTTCACTAGGTCACGCTGCTCTAACATGGCCTAATTCGGACCACAGCGCTCAGACCGTAACAGCAGGAAGTTCTCCCTGCCCTGATGGTGTGTGGCCAAGAGGTGTCCCGCTGGTCTCTGGCACAAGAGGCTTTATATCTGCTTGCCACTTGGGGGAGGGTGGCTCTCTATGCCGCTAATCGGATTCATGTCTCCAGTGACAACTAGGGTGACAATTTGACTGTTCTCACTAGAGCAGAGGGAAAAACCAGCAAGGGGACGCCCAAGTGAGGGACAATCCAATCCCACTTTGAGCCCAAAGCATCAAAGGCGATAATGCATATGACGATATCACGTGGTGGCAAATAACAAAAATCTGTTTATTTTGTTACAAAGAGGTTGAGATGCTAACTGTATCAACGACCGTTGAATGAAAAATATGAGTCTCCTACGAAACTCGAGTTTGGCTAGTCTTTCCTCTTAGGTCTCTGAAATGGATAGGCAGAAGGGCAAATACTAATCACCAGTTTATATTTGTTGTAAACTCTTCATATTATAATTTTCTAAATTTAGAAGTGACCACAAATTCAGTAGAGAAGTGGGAATAGGAAAAAAAAAAAAAAAAAAAAAAGGAACAGGGATGTTTCAGGTTTATCAAGACATGAATATAGGCTTTTTATTTCTGTGGACTGTAGAAAAATTACCTTGGAAGGGAGCGGGCAGGAGAGGAGACTGATAAGGGTACATACCTTAGATTAATTAAACCCAGAGGCCACAGGCTGGGTGGCTCTCATCCCCGCCTACATAAAGGAACCCAAATCTAAGCCCATAAATGCCTCAGGGTTACAAAATCAAAATACTAAGGACAACCAATCACAAGGAGCCAAGAAGGTTTTAGGCTATAGGCAATTGATCCTCCCTCACATTGTTTCCACCTTTTCTCTAGAAAAGTCTCCCCTAGTTCCTGCTGCAAGAGCACTCCTAACCACTGCCCATTTGGTGCTACCGGACTTGATTTCCTTTTTATTTTTTTATGTTCTGTTAGTCACCTTACATTACATCATTAGTTTTTGATGTAGTGTTCCATGATTCATTGTTTGCGTATAACACCCAGTGCTCCATGCAGAACGTGTCCTCCTTAATATCCATCACCAGGCTAACCCATCCCCCCCTCCCCTCTAGAACCCTCAGTTTGTTTCTCAGAGACTTGATTTCTGCTCAAACTTAACATTTTTAATATGTCTCAGTTCATCTTTGAACAATATAAAAGAAAAAACAGTGAGACTAAGATACTCTCAGGAAAAGAAGCGTGTGGGGTTGGGGCAGGGAAGCCAGCATGGCGACGGGCTCCGGAAGCCCAGCCTGATGGCCCCTGAGGAGGAGATCCCAGCTCAGGTTTGTTTGGACACTCGCAGGGGTCTCCCGGCCTTCTAAAGAGGTCTACTGAGTTTTGCTCTCCCACTTCTGAATCCCTCAAGACAAAAACTAGAGCCGGATTTGACTGTTTCAGGCCAAGGGGGGGAAAAAGCCAGCTTCTAATACTGAGCAGGGTTCTCGACTACAGGGAAAACTGCCCGGTTTCCTGGAATCCAAGCAGGGGCTCTTAGCGAGAGCTCACTTGGGCTTTGTAACCATGGTTTTCCAAGGCCCAACTGTATAAAAATAGAATATTTATTTAAAAACGAAAACCTGACAAATAAGCCACTGCTGTTTCTACTTGCAGTGAAAGCGCTGAAAGATTCCCAAAGCACAGGCCCAGGCAACGTGGGAAATGCGCCCCACACATAACGAGGTCCCCTGGCACTGGCCGTTGGCTTCCTTCCAGCCCCAGGGTGACTCTCAAGGGTGGTCATGGAAGGGTACCCAGAAACCTCGAGAGATGGTCCTCAGAGAGCCTTTCTTGGGTGTTAAAAGCTCCTTCTCCAGCTGGAGGGAATATCTAGTATTCAGCGTGTCCCCTGTGACTCTCCTTCTGGCTCCGTCCCTGGACTGGTCCTAGGGCAGGTGGAAGGACCGCATTCAGGGGCCTTTTCTTCATGACCATGATTTGTGAAAACTTGTGACCAAGGGGCCACATCTCTGACCTCTACTTCCATTTCTCTGTTGAGCCACAGATTTGCAGGAAGAAAAGTGAGATTTCAAAAAAGACCTCAATGATTTACAAAGGGCCATAGGAGGAATAACACATATATATGGCTTTTATGGTTGTTAAAGGGTTAAACTGAAAAGGGTCCAGGCATCTAGGAATTTTTGTTTTCACCCTGGATTTGCCACTTTCAAAGATGCCCTGCTAACCCTAAGGAATCACGACTTCCCAGGATTAAAGAGTATCCTGACTAATAAAGAATGGGGCTCTGCCACTTATCAGCTAGGATTCCTGGGTCACGTTCTATGAACAAGTCAGAATCCAGAGACGCTGCTGACAAAGCTTCATGGAGCAGGCTGACGGTTAGTTATATCCCGTGGTGCACACCTCAGCGCCAAACCACCTTCCTCCTCAAGAAATGGTCCCTGAAACTACACATAAATGGTTGGTTTTTTGTTTTCTGGGGTTTTTTTGGCAACGTCACAGCATTTTCTTTCATAACATGCTCTAAAGAGCGGAAGCGTAACGATGCCACTCCCTTACACCTTTCTGTAGATTCTCTTTATTAAAAGTGGTGTGTTTCTGAAAAGCAGATTAATTTTAAAAGCACTCAGAAAGCTTACCTTTGTTGTTTACCCACTAGTAAATCATTCTGCAATGTGAGTGATTTGCTTTACTTCTAGCAAAAGGTACTTTTTAGGCAATGCCATCGTTTCTATTATTGAATTTATTTTTTTTGTAGCTAAGCTGTTCCATAATTATATGTTGGCTGGTAATTCGGTAAAGTCTGTTAGAAGAGCCACACTATGGTGTATTTTCCACTGAGATGTTAATAGTGTCATGCTTTCTTCTAGGGTTATAGTTTCAATGTTAAAACTCAGCCCGGTTCTGTAGGTGTTTGCTGCTTTCACAAGCACAGACAGCAGGGAGAAGGACACGGGGTTTAAAAACACTCACTCCTCCTCCTCTTTGAAGAAAACCTCACTGTGATGCCCAGCACTCTGCTTCCTAGCGAGCAGTTCGTTTGGTGGAGCGCTGACCGGTAAGGACTCTCCAGCAGGTACTTGGGCCCTACTCTGCGGTGGAAACACTGGGGTCCCTGTTCTCAAAGACCAAATAATCTAGCCCTGATGGGGGCAGTTCTACAATGCAGTTTTGGGCAGGGGGAGGGACAATGGGCACAGGATCAGAAGACTTGGGTTCAAGCCAATTTTTTCCCCAGGCAATTCCTGAAACAGTTTCTGCATCCGAAGACAAGCAGTAATCTTGGTTCTCCCTGCTCCACTGGGCGGTAATGACGCTAAATGGATAGGAATGTGTTTTGTAATACGCAGTAAGGTATTGTCAATACAAAAGAGCCAGCAAGCAGTTCTGTGCTAGCTACCTGGGCAAGGATGCGGATGCCAGGGGCGGGGGGAGAGGGAGGTGAGGGAGGAAAGAGGAGGATGCTATAGGGCATCACCAGTTTTGGGTGGCTCTGAGAACTGACTGGTGTCTAGGAAGAGGCCTGTAGGGATGGAGGTTGAGAGGAACAGGACTGACAGAGCTGGAGAACTGGAATGCAAATGCGGTGTGTAGAGCCCCATGGCAGGTGCTTCACCCAAACCCTAGCCACTCAGGAATGAGCCAGCGGCTGCAGACCCTAGAGCGCAGCAGGACCGAACCTGAATGTATTCAATAATTTGTTGAATAGAAACATTTGAAGCTTAAGTATCGTGCTGCTATGAACAACTCTACAAGGTCATCATCAGTACATTCATATAAAGACAAGATGTTAATTACTTACTCAAGACAAGTCAGCACATGACGATAGGAGTTTACAGCATTTGACTCTAAAAGCCACGTTCTTTCTCTTAGTGAGAAAACATTTCTCTACTCTCTATTCCCAAAAGGAACAAACGTGAATGTGAATATAGAGAAGCAGAGACCCAAGGCAGACTAACCACAAGAACTTCCCCAGCCTAGTTGACAAAAACCACCCGTCCAGGTTACTTATAGGATTTTTCTTCTTTCTTAGATACGGCCTATGATTTAATGGAGAGAGAGAATCACACTTGGGTGAGGGAGTTCACTTTTCAGGGTTTCTCCAGCTTCCGTGAGCACCAGCTCACCCTGTTTGTCGTATTCCTTGTGCTGTACGCCTTAACCCTGGCTGGCAACGTCATCATTGTGACCATCATTAATGTTGACCGTCATCTTCACACGCCCATGTACTTCTTCCTGAGCATGTTGTCCACTTCAGAGACTGTGTACACGCTTGTCATCATACCCAAGATGCTCTGTAACCTCCTGGGCCTGAGTCAGCCCATCTCCTTGGCTGGCTGTGCCACCCAGATGTTCTTCTTCATCACCTTGGCCATCAACAACTGCTTCCTGCTCACGGCCATGGGGTACGACCGCTACGTGGCCATCTGCAATCCCTTGAGGTACACAGTCCTCATGAACAAGAGGGTGTGCATCCAGTTGGTGGGGGGGCCCTGCAGCATTGGCCTAATCATAGCCATGACCCAGGTGCTGGCTGTGTTCAGGTTGCCCTTCTGTGCCACAAAGGTGGCCCACTTCTTCTGTGACATCCGACCTGTGATGAAGCTCTCCTGCATTGACACCACAGTCAATGAGATCCTGACTGTGATCATCAGTGTGCTGGTGATCCTGGTTCCCATGGGGCTGGTCTTCATCTCCTATGTCCTCATCATCTCCACCATCCTCAAGATCGCCTCTGCCCAGGGCCGGAAGAAGGCCTTCGCCACCTGCGCCTCCCACCTCACGGTGGTTATCATCCATTATGGCTGTGCCTCCATTGCCTACCTCAAGCCCAAGTCCAAAAATACCAGGGATCAGGATCAGCTGATCTCAGTGACCTACACAGTCATCACTCCCCTGCTGAACCCTGTAGTGTACACCCTGAGGAACAAGGAGGTCAAGGATGCTCTGCTCCGGGCCACTGGCAGGAATTCTTCCTGACGAGATGGGCCCACTTCAGTGAGGATCCTGTAAGATTCTCTAGAGCAGGAAAGCAAAGCAGTGCCCACAGTCCCTAGAGCTAAAATTCTGGAGCCTACTAAGCAGTGGGTGAGTGAGAAGAGAACAAAAGCACTAAGATTCAGGCACTGGAGAAAGGGACACATTTCCCCAGAGTACAGGCAAGCTTGCACCTCACATGCGAACACAGACGCTGTGGGACTTCAACACAGGAGAAGGGACTGCTGGGAGGGGATGGGCAGTGTGGGCGGAACGACATCAGGACAGAAGGAAGGATGAAGCGGGGGCGGCAGCTCCGGGACAGGGTTAACATTTTAAAAATGTTCTCCAACACTCCTTTTGGACACGGAGTTTCCCTGTGCCCATTTACACAGGTTTAAGTCCTAGCTGAAGTAATTCCTTCACAGACAGCTCAAGCTCCTGCATCCTAGACACCATAAGTAAATGGATAGCAGACATCAGAAACGTGTAAAATTCATTAGGCTTCAATTCTGAATCTTTTTCACTTAAGTGCCAGGTTGGCCATAGGGGAAAATAGATACCTGTTTCCATGATCATGTCAGAGAAACATTTATAGAAAGTGATTAAAATCCCTTGATGATCTAGCTAAAGCTGTAGTACCAGGTAAATCATATTGGCATTTATATTGTGAGACTATACGAGATTGATGGTGAAACAATCTGAGTGACTCGCCCATTAAAGAGAGATGGGCTTGCCTTGGGAGAGGCTTTCGTGGAGTGGAAAGAAGTAACAAGTGCAGGAAGTAAAGGAAAGAGTCTGCAGCAGGGGTGAGTAGGAGAGGGTTGGAAGGTTGTGCATGGTAAGGACAACGCAGCCATCTGATAACTTAGAAACCACCCAAGACAGGCTCCAATTGTCCATCCGTCCTACCACCACTTAAGACCCACTAGGCCCTGAATTAACAGGACATGGGTCACTGGCCACCTCCACTCCCAGGACCCCTGCCCTCAGCGTGTCTTCCACTCCACACAGCCTTCAAACCCCAACCACACCCAGTGACCCTTTTCCTATCCTCAGGCCATTCTACCGCTTACCGGCACTGGACGGAAATGTCTCACTGCCACTCAGCAGGGGATTCATTTTGAAACCCCAAACCGAAGTCGCTCTCCCATGAATCTTCTGATGGAGTCACTCCATCTACTTCCTCACACCCCACCACACGACACTCTTGAATTCACACGTCACTACGGCAAACTTCCACCTGGTGGCTTCATGGGCGCACCTGTGAAATGGGCAATGACATGGTGGCCAGCGCCTAGCTCCAGTCCCTCGATCACGTCCCAACTGTACCCACTGACACGGTCTTCGCAGGTGGTGTTCTTTATGTCCATTTTAAAAAGTAGGGTTGTGTCCAAATAGTTCATAAATAGCTTATTATGGTTCATTCTTAGACAGATTCAACTATAGTTTGTTTTTTTTTAAGAAATTTATGGTGAGACACCTGGGTGGCTCAGTCAGTGAAGCAAGCGTCTGCCTTCAGCTCAGGTCGTGATCCCAGGGTGATCCCAGGGTCCTGCTCAGCGGGGAGCCTGCCTCTCCCTCTTCCTCTGCCCTACCCCCTGCTCGTGTGCATGCATGCTCTCTCTCTCTCCCCCTCATTCTATTTCAAATACATAAATTAAAAAAAAAATTTATGGTGAAATCCAAGAGAACTCAAAAGTACCCTGCATTTGTCTATGGTCACTTTACTAAGTAAATAAAAATTTTATTTTAGACTAGCTTCAAAAATGCTGCCCTGTTTGACCTTCTCAATAGATAATCTATATCTGACAACTTAGCTACTTCAAATGTTAGGTAGTGGTTTCTGCAGGTCAGCTGAGCAAAAGGAATGGAACATAAGCACTGGGAGAAAAAGATTCTAATTTGAGTCCTGCTGAACTTCTTACTCACGATCTACATTTGAATGAATTATTTAGCTTCCCTAAGACTCAGTTTCCTCATCTATAAAACATACCCAAAGTTTATGACAAACACGTGTGACAAGTGTGAAAATCCTTTGTAAATGATGAAACAAATATTTATTTTTATTAGAGTAAGAAAACAGCAAAATCATCCCCATAAACTTCCAATCGTATCTACCAAACCTGGAGTTCAGCCTCATCCACCTGAGACGGCACTGCCTCGGAGGTTTTGGGGATGCTGCTCTTCTGTCTTCTTGTTATCCTTTTTATTTCTACACCTGGCTCAGGGGTCTCTTTCCTCGGATGCTCTGGAGGAGGAGGAGGAGGGTAACGTCCGCTTTAGGATGATCTTCCAGACACACTGCGTTCATGAATCTGAAACAGTGCCTCAGGGAGCACCAAGCGCCAGAAAGCGAGTGTTGTACTTGGTTTCCCCAGACCCAGGGTGCCACCCTTCACTTCTCAACTGGTCTCTTTTGTTAAGAGCACGAAATCATAAGATGTTTGAATTTAAGATACACCTTTGTTCCCTCCCAGCTGTGGATCCCCAAGGAAGTAACTGAATCTTTCCTTCTCTGCAAAATGGGGTTACAAGTACCTGTTTGTCTTTCCTGTTCAGCTGTTGTAGGAATCAACTACACTAGAATAAACACAGTAGATAGAAATTGCAATGATAACCACCAAAAAGTGTTAGAAAGATAGCGTATTATCATCATGATCCCTATATTCTTACCTTTCCAATTTCTCCCAGCCATTTTATATTATTTCACCAATTTCTGACTCCTACCTTTCTCCCACATGTGCTTAAGTTCTAATGCTTAAGTTCACGTATGGGCAGTTCCTTGCAAAAAAAAAAAAAATCCCCAAACTTTGCACCACTATCTTTTGTTAGCAATTTCAGCACTTAGTGCCTATCCTTCTGCTCTACACTAAGCACCTTCCCTCCTCCTAGTTCAGCGGATTTCAACTTCTTCACCATGCCCCACAGCCCTCAATAAGAAATACATGTTCTGACATAATCCAGCGTGCAAGTACACATCTACAAACTGAACAAAGAATTCACAGAACAGTATCTGTCCTTACTACTTGCAATGCATTCTGATGTTTTTCATTCCAGTCTGTTTTTTTAAATTTTATCAGAGAGAGAGAGGGAGGGAGAGAGAATGCGCACACGCACAGGGGGAGGAGCAGAGGGGGAGGGAGAGGGAGAGGGAAAGAATCCCAACCAGCCTCCACGCTGAGCACCCAACACAGGGCTCGACCCCAGGACCCCGAGATCTTGACCTGAGCCGAAACCAAGACTCCGACGTTCAACCGACTGAGACAGCCAGGCTCCCCCAGTCTGTCCTGTTCTAATTCATTTTAGTCAAATAAGGTTAATGAACAGAGGTGCAGATACAACATATTTTGACCAAATACTCAATAGATGAAAGTTAAAATACTCAGCTGAAGTTCACGCTGAAGCCCAATATCATCAGACTATGTTTCTTCATTAGTGAAATTAAAATCTTAAGAACACAGGAATTTTATTATTGAACATTCGGTGTTCATATTTAAACACAGAACATCTCAGAGGAGGGATGCTTACCTTTCACTGTAGCTGCTGGGCCACGTGTCCAGGACGCCAGGTGGGTGGCTCACTTCTCACGTGAGAAACAGCCTGGCAGAGAAGCAAAATTATCTTGAGGGAAATACCTTATTTTTCTCTAACACTTTATTTATATTCTTCATTAAATATGGGTTAAAAATAATTTATCCTGAAGACTGTCATATTCGACCGTGGTGGCAAAATTAAAATCATGCTGTGAATTCAGGACTTAAAAAGAATTAAAAAGCTAAAAATACAGTGCTTCATAATTGTTTTATTTAAAATTATGAATACAGAACACCAGTTTTACAAAGATTAGAATTCTGATATCTAATTTCCATTATTCTGCTTTGTATATTTAAATTTTTTAAGTATTTATTGGCTTTATAACATATAACGTTCTAAAACTATAAACCAACACACTCAATGTTTATATGAAACATGATTTTCCTATTTAAAACTCTTAAGTTTGTCCCCCAAATTAACAGCTCTCAATCATCAATTGTTTTTGCACTTTACCTTTGCAGTAATAAATATAATGTATACCTCAATTGATTGAATTTTAACATGTAAAGCTTATAAAGCTATTGCGGTCCAACTAAAGCCACAGAATGAGTAACTGTATTTGAAAATTCATATTTGAACATTTGTTAAAAAGCCAAAGGCTTGCTTTGTCCAGATTCCTGATGCTATCAGCCTGATTGGAGGTAACTACGTATGCTATGGTGTGATCACTGTTCACCTGAAAGCTCAGAGTTGCCCCCAAAAATGGCATACAAGATTTTCGACTATCGACTTTGCAAAGACTAAAGACCAATGTAGCAACGAAATAGCAGATTCTGACTAAATACCAAAAGCAAGGTCAAACTCTGATGTGCTTCTGGGGTGGCCCTCTAAAGTTAGGGTAACCCCGGGCAGATCTGGACACCATAAGGGGACGCTCCACATGTGAGCGCCCCCAAGCCAGCCGGAATGAGCATCTGTGAAGGAGGCCACCTATTTTTGTCTTCTTTTATTCTGAAACAGTGGTATGTTAATTGGCATTTTTCTGGTTACTAAAGCAATACTCTTTGAAAAATCGTCAGGAAATTATAAAGAAGAAAACGGAACCTCTGTTTCTCTGACGGACACTATGGTGCGATGAGTGCATTGAGCATTTCTCTTCCCACACGCCCCAGCCCCACCCCTATCAAACGCTAGAAGGGAAACATTTTTAAAGTAGGATCCTATAGCCAGTGCTTAAAAACAGAAATGGAATTTTTAGTGGGCTACAAATTACACAGATGACCTAGAGACTCAGAACAAATGTGATCAACCGAGTACGGTGCCTCGGAGGCAGTGGGAATCACAAGGGCAGCCTGGTCAGGAAAGTTACTTCATACCAGAGGTGGAGGAGAACCCAAACAATGGGAAACGCCAGGAGAAGGAAACAGGGTGTAGTGGCCCAGAAAAGGCAGCCCTCCCCAACACTT